ATTAAGAAAGCTTTTTTTTTTTTAAGATATAAAAAGCATAAAGAAAAGATTAATATATTTAACTATAATAACACAAAAGCAAAATTTAAAAATTCTCTAATCTTTAACCAAAGTGAAAAGGCAAACTACATTCTAGGAGATGTATCAACACACCTAACCAACAAAACAGTAAGCACTTCTAATATATTTTTAAAAATAAGTTGATAAAAAGCAAGCAATCCAACTAAAAAATGGATAAAGTACACGAATAGGCAATTCACAGAAAAGGAAATCTGTAAGGCTAATAAACTTATGAAAAGATAGTCAACCTCACTAGCAACCAGAAAATGCAAATTACAATAATATTTCACATCCATCTGATTGGAAAACATTTTAAAAGTCTGACAATACCGAGTATTGCTTAGAGGTGGAACAACAGGAATTCTCCTGCACTATTGATAGGAATATAAATTGATATAATTCTTTTGGGGAACACTGGTAATATCCAGCATTTCCAGGAATATATCCTAACAACATTACTTTTTAAGGAGACAAGTACAAGATTGCTCACTTCAGAATTATTTGTGATAGGGAAAATTGGAAATAACCAAAACTCTTCCAACAGAATATATAATCACCAAGTATTCATGCAGCGCAGTTCTACGTGCAGCAGTTAAAATAATTGAGCAATACTTCATGTACCAACATGGAAAAACCTCAGAAACAAAATGATGAGTGAGGAGAAAAGCAAGATGTAGAAGTATATATACTATGTGATAACACTTGTATTAAGTTAAAAATATGCTAAATAGTATTACATATTATTTATGGTGATATGTGTGAGGAAAGGCATAAAAATATTCATGTCAATAACATGTACTAATTTTGGAATAGAGGATGCCTCTGCAGAAAGAGGAAAGGCAATGGCCTTAGGGAAGAACATTTTCCAGAAGGTAGTCAACCATGCCTGTAATATTTTATTTCAAAAATAAAATCAGAAGAAATCTGGTAGAATGATGGTTATTATAATTATGCTCTGTAACTTCCCATATGCTTGAAATGTTTTATTAAAAAGTGAATAAGTTTAAGGTAAAACTTCAGAAAAGACTTTATGCTGATGGCTGATAAAATTCCTGAGAAATGTTCAGATTTCAATACATTTTAACCATAAAAATTGTTTAAATTCTCGTTGTGAAATATAAATACATGTTTCAATTTTGAGTGTGTGTCCATATTATAAATAAGAGAGCCATCAAGACATAAGTTATAAATACCCTGATCATAGGGTAAAAATATAAAATGTGCATAGACACACATGTGGGTAAAAATTGGAAAGGACATAAAGAAGAAAATATACGAACTTAAGCTAGAAGGGCTTGGGGTAAAATTTCTTCTTTTTTTTTTTAAAAGTTTGCCTCAGTGAATAAACTATATATATCATGTACTTCCTAACAAGTATTTGCTGTAGAAATGATAGAGCAGCAGAGATTTAAACAAATACCAGTAGAGCTCTAGAAATGCACAGTAAACAGTAAACAAGTCCTTTTGGGCGGCCCACTGAAATCCAGTTAAACAAACAGGCACAATAACAAAAAAGACTTGGGTCAAATCACTATTGCCACCCAACTTTCAAGGGCAATTGCAATCCAGAACCGGCCCCGGGGAGATGCTTTGCTGTGCCTTTAACTGAGGCGGGGCTTTTAAAACTCAGTTGTTCCATTCATGTCTCAAATCAATCAGATGAAATTCACCTTTTAACGTGGCCTGAATCCTGATAGCTCCGCACACTTGATAGGTAATTTAATCATCTCTGGTGTAGATGAACGCAAACTCAAATTAGCTACTGAAAGGGCTGGTCTTCTCTGAGATAGCTGTGCTTTTCCACTTTTATGCAGGAGCTGAGCTTCACCAACTGGCTGGCTGGAGGTGTTATTAAAAATTTAGTGAAAGAAACAAAGGTGTGCTCTGCTGTTCTCCTGTTACCCTTTCTACTGTTACTCCAGCAGACAAAAGACATAGGGCCTGCCTCATGAATAATGTGACATGGAATATTCACAATCTATTTTTAATGGAGTCAAGTAATAACATTAAGGGAGATATTTGCAACCTTCAAATTTCACACAGTACCAGGCACAGTAATTTGTTTTGATTCTGCACTGAGGATATCAAGATATTCCCCCCCACACACACACACAAAAAGGCACACTGTTAACATAAAAATTAAAACTCCTCATGGATAGCATAAACTGGAATTATGAAAATGGACCAAAAGTTTTCAACGTCATAAGGGAAGAACAGGACAGGACAGACTAGATGCCAGTCATTCCTACTTCCTCCTCCATGCAACTTCTTTAGTTTTCAAACCAGGTTGGAAATTCTCAACCAGTGTACCTGGTGAATTCTGTGGGAAGGAAGTTTTTGATATTTATTTACTGATAACTTTGCTTCTCGGGACACGAGGAGGAGGTTCCTGGATGCTGCAACTGTTAGCCCATAAGTTCTGGAAAATTATCTTAAACGTGCATGATAGAGCAAACAAGTTTAAATTTTGAATGAGAATAAACTGACATGGAGGACTGAGATTTTGGAGAAAAGAGAAAAGCAGCATCAAAAGTCCCCATACCCACCAACTCAGTCCTGTGTGTTGTTTCCTGCAATTTCTCTTCCTTTTGTAAGGAACAGAGCCTTCCAGGAGCAAGCAGTTTACTTTGCTTATTATTCACTTAACACCTCGGCAAATACTTACTAAATATGTGTTTTTTCAATTGATTTCAGAGAGAGGAAGGGAGACAGAAACATCAATGATGAGAGAGAATCATTGATCGGGTGTCTCCTGCACACTACCTACTGGGGATGAAGCCCGCAACCTGGGCATGTGTCCTGACCAGGAATCAAGGAACTATGACTTCCTAGTTCATGGGTCAACACTTACCCACTGAGCCACACTGGCTGGACAGCAAATATTTATTGATCTCTTACTGTGTGCCAGGCACTGTTCTGGAAGATTCAGCAGTGACCAAGTACCAATAAAGCTCCACAAGATACTGTGCTCACCTCTGTATCCCAGCACCGAGAACAGTGCCAGGCACATAGTACGTGTTCAATCAATCTGTGGGAAGTTGATTTTAACAGAAATGGACAGTCTGCTGGTAGTCACCATGAGTCATGTATACCTTGGCTGGAGATGTGTTTTTTTTAAAGTTGGGGTTTAGGCCAGCAACTTATTCTGGTTTAAGGAATTGATTTGTGCAAGAAATTCCTATAGGTGGATAGAGCCAGAAATAACCCAGATAGCAATTTCCCTGCCCCTCATGCATCTTTAGATTTGTAACTTACCTTAGGCAAAGCAGCTAACCAGTCTCAGACACTATCTGTTTAGTCTCCACAGAATCAAAGTAGTCAAGGTTATACTGGGATGATACAACCATATCTACATTTTATAGTCACGGAAACTGGTATCAGGGAGGTCACAGGATTTGCCCAAGTCACATGGTGTGTTGGTGACAGCTGCGATTAAGAATCAATCTCTAGACCTCAGGCTTGTGATTTCTTTATTCATCTCACAGCCCTCTGTCCTTTCTTCGGAAACTCTCAGAAAAAAAAGAGCCTGTGTACATGCTCGACTGTCAGAGACCCTACAAGGTAGGTCAGAGCCTAGTATTGTGCGACTGGTTTTTCTATTAAGAAGTGAGACCCTCGGAGGCATAGAAGAAAAGGAAAAAAAGCATCGGAAAACCAGAGCAACTGAATTCCACTCGCTTCTGGATGGTGGCTGCTTTACTTCAGTGCCAACTCCCCTACACACTACACCAAAGGACTTCCACAAACCCCCTGCCTGAATAAAAAAAGCAATATGTAAGAGTCTTAATACTTTATTAACTTAAAACATCACTCTAATAAATATGTGTTAACAAACATAATGCACTTCAGAAGATCTAAAAAAAACAAAACAAAACATTTATAAGCCTCACCGAAGGAAAATACCATTTTCTCTCTCTATGGTGCACAGGAAAGGGCTGAGGGTTGAAGACAGAACCTTCACGCCCCCATGCCTGCTAGCTTAGACCTCTTTTTTTAAAAAAATCAGCTTAACAGTAAAAAAGTGAGTGTACACACAAGTCTTTGAAGTATCTGTCCATTCTATTTTGTTTACAGTTGATAAAATCCGAAGGGGTCAGAAGGGAAGGTTCAAGACTCTGCGTTGCCTTCTCGGAATTCCTTGGGAGGAAAAGAACAGACCCAGCCACTCGGAGGTGTGACTGTCAGCCCAGGGCCATGACCTTACTCTCCGGTTCCCCAGCATCTAGCATCAGGCCTGGCACCATGGTAACCGGTGGCCAACAAACATTTGCTGGGTAAATGGATGGTATCTTGTCCTAAGGCGCTGCTCTGTGCTTTCCCCTCCTCCTCCAACAAAGCCTGCACGGACCTCTAATCTCTCCTCATCACCGAGTCCACTTTTCTTGAACTCTTTCTTGGGGCGGGCTGTACAGTGTATCTTGTCACGTCAAAAGTTTGAAGCGACTTCCCCAAATCAGTTTCCGAAATGGTCTTCAAGTGGGAGGCAGGATTCCTCCAAGACTACAGGCAGCACCTCACAGAAGGGGGTCACCGGACCCCCCCCAAAATGAACATGAAAACACTCCCTCTTCATTCTGCATTCACCACCACCACCACATTAACGTGTGTCTGTCTACCTTGTAAATAGCGACTCCTCCTCTTCCACGGTGTCCGGGTGGGGCAGGAGGAGGGGAGAGGAGAGCTGAAGGGCCTTCCTGTCTGTGGAGCAGGACTGAGGGTCCTGAGACACAAGTCTTCACGGTTAGAGGGGCCGTTCCCTGTGTCCGAGGCACCGTGAGCAGTCGGATCCCGCTCCCGGATGAACCTTGAAAAGGTAACATCCCCTCTGGAAGGGAGGTGAAGGGGTCACCCAGTGGGATCTGCAGCCTCTGCTGGCGAGCGGCGGGCGGGCGGGCCGCCCTCCCTAGTGTTGTGGAAGTGCCCGTGGCCGGCCAGGGCACTCATTTGAGCCCGTGCTGCGTCTCCCGGTGCCGCCTGAGGTCCACCTTCCTCTGGAAGCCCTTCCCACACAAGTCACAGCCGAAGGGCTTGAAGCCTGTGTGCTTGCGGCTGTGGGTGATGAGGTTGGAGCTCTGGCTGAAGGCCTTGCCGCACACCTGGCACTTGTGGGGCTTCTCACCTGCAGGAACGGAGGGGGGAGGGGAGGAAGTGTGAGTCTGTGATGCCGCCAGAGGGGACTCTCTGTGACCCACATGGCTCTTGACGGCAGCTGGCAGCCGCGGGTCTAAGCAGGCCTTCCCGTGAAGTGGAGGGTGATGTGTGGAGCCAGGGGGGCGCCAGGTGAAAGGGAGACTGCCTGAGTGGGGGTTCCCAGCCAAGGGCCTCAAACCGTTTCCTGCTGAACGGAAACAGCCAAGGCCACGTGCCCTCCCCAAGCTCACAGCTGAAGCCAGCCCGGGAGGACGCCCGTGACTACAGAAGCAGAGCCAGAGCACTCCCACAGCAGATGGTCAGCAGGAGGGGTGGGAGGAAGGTGGGGGCGGCTCTGCAAACCATGTGACTGTTCTAATTCAGAGGAAGTTTTCAAATCTGAGTTTCCAAGCAGGTGTTGGTTTGCACGGACCAGGGAGCCTGTCTTCTCTCCTGCTCTTGAAGGACAATAGACGGCATCTGAAGCACGGGGATTTCTTGTTTTTTTTTTTTTAAAAATCCACATTTGGGTCACAAAATATTTCTTTCTTTTTTATTTCAGAGAGGAAGAGAGAGATATAGAAACTTCAGTGATGAGAGAGAATCATTGATTGGCTGCCTCCTGCACGCCCCACACGGGGGATGGAGCCCACAACCCAGGCATGTGCTCTTGACTGAAATCGAACCTGGGACCCTTTAGTCCACAGGCTGGTGCTTTATCCACTTAACTAAACCACAAAGTATTTCTTAAGGTAGCTGATCCTTTTCTATCTTGATTTTACTTTCTTTTTATGAGGTTAATCAGAGGACTTTTTATATACTAGCAACTCTTCAACATAGATTAATAAATAACCTTGAAAAAGTTTTGTGTTTTCCCCCAATTCATGAGCATTCCCAAATGTTAAACCAGCTCATGGTTTAACATTTGGGAATGCTAAACCAGCTCATGGATTTCCAAATAGTCTCAGCATGGCACAGGGCTGGACCCTGGGGGAAAAAAAATGCAAAATAGATAACATTTGTTTTTGAGAAACCCTCAGTCCCTCTTGCCGCACCTCTTTCTGTCTTCCTGCTTCAGATTTCCTTGATAAGGAACCACCCATCAAAATGCATCCTATCCCTTTAGGGTCAAACAAATCTGAGAAACGAATTCTAGCTATAATGTAAATGTTTGATAAGGGCTTAATGTTTCATTCAGTCAAGACCTTGGTCGCATTTTGATAAGCGTCTTGAATACCTCTCCCACCAGGAGTGCGTTACATGGAAATTTCAGGCAAGCGGGCATGGTTAAAATAGGCTGCCTTTCTGGGTGTTCTGATGGGGCCATCTGCAATGTTCAAACATATTTGTAAACATAAATGAAGTGCTGGGAACACACTGCAGTTTGTTTTGAATCAGTATTCATATTCTGCGACAAATCAGTCAGGTTTCTGGTTCCAATGTCTCGTTGACTATTAAAGAGAGCGCCCTGGCATTAAAACTGCCACCTACACACAACCCAAACCTCAGGGGAAGAGCACAGAGCTGGAAGCCAGAGCATCCCCTGGGCCCTGACCTTCAGCAAATCACCCAATCTCTCTGGATTTCAGGATGGTCATTTCAGCTCCTACTTGGGACCACGGCAAGGATCAAATAAAGTGATAGACTTACAAGCACTTTATAAATTATAAAACATTGAAATAGGTAAAGCGTTGTCATGACTACGTCGTAAACGTGCTGATGTTCTTAAAAGGGCAATAAGTGAATAGATGCTTTTTATATCTACCAACCCCCACGACTCTGAGAATAGACTACAATAAGCAGTGGTCAAGAGCGCAGACACTTGAGGTCAGACAGAGCAGAGTGTAAGTCCAGGCCCTGCCACTTGCTAGCAGTGGAACCCGGGCAGGTTCCTTAACCCTTACGGACCTCACTTCCCTTTCCCTCGTCTCTAAAATGGGAACAAAGAACAGCCTCTTTCTCCCAGAATTGTTGTGAGCACAACACGATAATGCGTTTACAAAGTGCTCAGCCGTCAGGTGTAGTCATATTTGCCATTGCTTTTCCCTCCTCCCTCAGAATAAGCTCTCAGACTCCAACACATGCAGCCCAGAGGCCACCCCCGAATCCCTCCCCCACAAGGCTGGGTGGGGGCCCTAGAGAAAGTCCTCAACCTCTAGGTAAACATTGAAGAGCTGTGGCTCTGAGAGGACCCTGGGGCTTCCTATTTCACCCAGAGCAGGCAGCAGTTGGAGCAGCTGCTAAGTTAGAGAAGAATCGTCTTTGTGAGGACAGGGAACGGCAGCTGACCTGCTGAGTGGGTCTTCAGGTGCCATCCCAAATCAAGGCCCCTCTGGGGAGGACCACGTATGCAAATGGACCTGAGAGAACCCGCTTGGCTTTCTTTTAGGTTCTGCAGTGCTTTGGAAAGGTGGGGGTACCTTTAGGCCTCATCTGCCACTCCCTGCGGGGCCAGACTCTCACAGAGACCAGACCCTCCCAGAGACGGTGAATTCTATAGGCCTCTGGGGGCAGTACATGCCCCTGCCGCCCTCCACCCCCCCCCCAATCCCTCCCTGGGTGGTTCCTACAAGGCACGGGCCTTCGCTCACCCGTGTGGATGAAGGTGTGTTTTTTCATGTCTGACTTCTGATGGAACCTCTTGCCACAGTACTGACAGGGGTAGGGCCGGGTGTCTGAGTGGATGAGGAGGTGTGTGGACAACGTCGACGACCTCTTAAAGCTCTTGCCACAGATCTTACAGTCAAAGCTCCTTTCCTGTGGAGAGAGAAGTGTGGCGTCCCCATGGCAGTCCTCGAGGCTGCCCTTCTGCTCACCACCGACCTGACGCACAGCCAGGGCTTGCCCTCCTTCCAGACTCAAAGCCCTTCTTCCAGACCCCCTTTCCAAACAGCCTGACCCCCCTCATCCTCGCCCTTCCCATCCATGTCCAACCTCTTCCCTCCCCACCCCTCTCCTCTTCCCCTTTAACATTTTGTTTTTTACCCAAACACTTTTCACCCACAACCCTCCACGCCCCGGGGCAAAACGGTATCCCCACCCTGCTTTTTTGACACCCATGTACAATAACTCCTCCACCCTCTTGGGCAGGAGGCTTCGCCCTCAGTCACTTGAGATGCCCCCTCCCTCCAGCCAGCCGCGGGTGTTGAGAGAGATGAGAGAATCCTCTTCTTACTAAATAAGCATCTGTAAGGACGCACTGTTCTGTCATAGCCACTTTGCACTCATTTGCTTATCTACCTTCTGCCTCTCAGCTAAACGGTATGTACCCTCCTATACTCTCCGTGGGGGCATCCCCTCAGGATTCGCATGTGCCTAGCACCTGCAAGTTGGGCAGCAAATATTTTAAATGAATGCATGAAAGCATAGCAGGACAAGGATGCTCCTGGAAGGTCTACATGGCCCGGGATCCCTCCTTTTCCGTGGGGAGGGGGTCGATGCAGAGTAGCTGAGAGGTTGAAACGGAGCTAATAAATCTGACAGGTCAGCAGCAAGATGCATACAAACTCTCCTCCAACTCAGAGTGAAGATCAGGATCGCACTCTGGAGGCTCCCATGGACGTGACACCAAACCCTAGGGTTGACTCCAGACCGACCAAGCCGGCCACCACCCACCTTCCCCTGCACACACCTAGGCAAGGGGACATGGCCTAGGAGACGGGGGCAGCCAGGGAAGCCCGAGGAGAAAGCCAGCAGGCGGAGAGGGGCCGGTACTGCAGAGACCCCTGGGGTCTCCCAATGAGAAACCTACGCAGGACTGTGCTAGGCTGCCATGCACCACCCCCCTTCCGCCTCCATCCCTATCCCCCATCCCCCATCCCGCTCACCTGCGAGTGCACGGCCTTGTGCTGCTCCAGGCTCACCGCGTGCCCGAACGTCTTGCCGCACATCTCACAGGCGAAGGGCCGCGTGCCGCTGTGGGACCGGCGCACGTGCACCTCCAGCCCGTGCGGCGTGGAGAAGACCTGGGGGCGGGGAGAGGGCGCTGAGCGGAGCCCGGGGGCGCGGGCTGGGGGCGCGGGCTGGGGCGCGGGGGGCGCGGGGGGGGCGGGCTGGGCGCGGGCCGGGCGCCGGGCCTCACCTTGCTGCACTTGATGCACTTGTAGGAGCCGCCGCCCAGCAGCAGGCGGGTGCACAGCAGCTCCGACTCCACCTTGACGCCGGCGCCCTTGTCCGCGTGCAGCCCGTGGCCGCGCTCCGGGAACAGCCCGCCCGCCGCCGCCGCCGGCCGCTCGTACAGCCCGGCCACCGCCGGCCCGAAGTCGCCGTAGAGCCCCAGGCCCGCGCCGCTCGCCGCGCCCCCGGCCCCGGGCCCGGCCCCCGCGCCGCCCGCCGCCCGCTCGGGGCCGTACAGCGCGGCGGGGTGGCCGGGCTCCGGGCTGCGCTCGCAGAAGAGGCCGAGGCCCGCGCCGCGCTCCAGGCCCGCGCACGGCCGGTAGCTCTGCACCAGGCTCCGCAGGTCCGAGCCCACCAGGCCGCTCCACGAGTAGGGCTTGAAGGGCAAGGGGAAGGGCTGCGCTTCGTCCAGCGACGGGCACACCGACTTCTCCGAGGCTGAGGAGACACGAGGGGGCGTCCGGTCAGGCTTCACGGGGACCGCCAGGCGCCCCTCATTGGGGCGGCGCCCCGTGTGCCCGGTGCCGCGCTAGATGCCAGGGACGACCCCCAGGATACAACGCAGTCCGGGTCCCTGAGGCCTCGGGGACCGCTGGAGGCAGCAAGCAGACAATGGGAATGGCACAGGCTGAGCAGAGAGGGAATCCTGTGCCAGGACGGCGGGAGCGCACGAGGGGAAGAGGGTCTTGCCAGGCAGCACCAGCGCATCTGGTGTCCCCACAGAGAAAGGCGCCCCGCGCTCAGCCCGTTCTCTGGGCCGCGCTGGGAGTGGGGAGAAGGCGGCCTGGGCAGCACTGTGGGCAGAGGGCCCAGCTCCCCTGATTGCCCCCACACAGTCCCTTTTCGTTCCTGAGATTGATAGGGAGGGAAGGAGAGGACCAATAAAATGCGGCCCGGCGGCCTACACAAGACAGACCTTCCTTCCTGGAAGGGAACACAGCAACGGGAAGGCGTTACATTCCTTCAAGTTATTAAGTGCTCTCCCCGTATAGCAGGAAGGGGGATTTGGAGCTTGAACTTCCTGCCAGATACTACTCCCATGTCCATCATCGTTTGATAGGGGGGTCCAAATTTCTTAGAAAACAATTTACAACTAAGCCTTAGCCACCAACTCTAAAGGGAATAGCTTTCCAAATTCGCAGCTTTCTGCATTTCCCCACCAGCAAGAACCTTGCTAAAACCAAACCCCCAACATACACTTTCTGTTCGTGCCTACAGATTTGCCAATCGGTTCAGGCACCGCAGACCCCTATCCAAGCTCACCGCCCCAGAGGGGGCTGCAGCACCCCGAGTGTCCGTGGGAGAGAGACCTCGCGGGGCGGTGTCAAGAGGAAACCAAGGCTTGCTGTTTTGCAGTCTTTGAACCAAGTCAACGCACCGAGTGCGGGATGGGATTGGGGGCCGGGGGAGGGGGTTCCTTTTAAAACTAGTAAATGCAACCTTAACTAGCCGACCCTTGTCAGCCCCTGCTGGTCCGCGCTCTCCCTCCCCCAGGCCCCCCACTGAGACCCGCCTCGCCCCGATGTGCTCTCACTGTTTTCTAGAAACTTGACTGCTGGAAATGAAACCAGCCTGCCGGTCCCCAGAAACTGGACCGACCAGGCAGAACAAAAAAATAAAACGAGTCCCCAATCCCGGCTGGGAAGACCCAGCAGGGGGGCGCCGAGATTTCCCCCCGGGATGGGTCCCTCCGCTGGGCGCCCAGCTCGCGGGGCCCCACGCCGCGGAAGCGAGGGTAATTTTTTTAAAGACAATGACACTTTCCTCTCAGACTTCCCTGGTCTCCATTTGTCTGAGACTCTAGGGGTTCTGGATTCGGGGATCCCAGCTCTTTCTAAACAATCAACTCTGGCCTGAAAAAACGAAATGTTGACCTTGGCGTGGCCAGAGGAGAACGACTCGTTTATTTTCTCTCGCCCACCGGCTCTCAGAACAACTTGGGTGGGGATGGGCAGTCCGGGTCCCGCCGCCTCGGAGCCAAGCAGGTTGCCGAGGTCCCAGAAAGTCGGATGCCTCCCTGGGGGCCCTAACCCCCCACGAACCCCCCCCCTCCTCCTCCAGGAAAGGCCCTCAGCCCCCGACCGCAGAGCATGTCTGTGCCCAGAGCCGCGCGCCTTCATTTCCCCGCCGAGAGGTCCCCGCCGCCCGCGCCCCGGCGCTCCCTCCCCGCGGGTCCTCACCTGGAGACACGGAGGGCGACGGCGGCCTCCAGAAGTCCTCGAACTCCGAGCTCCGGTCGCAGACGCTGCCCGCGCAGCTGCCGGGGGACGCGGAGGCTCCGTCGGGGGTCCCCGTCCGCTGCGACGCGGGAGACAAGCGGCTCCCGGGCTCCGCCTTCACCCCCGCGGCGCCCGGGGTACTGTCTGCGGGGAGGAGGCGGCAGAGGGCTCAGGCTGGGCCCGGGCGTCCCCCTCTCCCCCCGGACCCGGCCCGAACCCGCCCGGATGGATCCGGGGACGAGGGCAGAGAGGCCGGGGAGCCCAGGCGATAAGCCCGGGATACACCCCGGACGATAGGAAACAACACAGGCGGCAAAAGGGGCGCCGGGCCTCCCTGCCCGGCTCCCTGGGGGCTGGTGTGGCCGGGCTCGGGGTCTCCGGCCCTCGCGCCCCCCGCACCTGCTCCGCCGCCGGGCGCGGGGACACCCCCCGGCTGGAGGGCGTAGTCGGGTCCCGGGGAGCGCGGCTGGTGGTAGCTGTGCGCCTTCTTGCTCTTCACCAGGAAAGAGCGCGGCATGGTGGCGGGGCGCGCTTCGCTCCCCCGTCGCTGGTGGTCTCCGTCGCCGCGCTGTCACCCCGAATTCTCAGCCTCAGCGAGGCGGAGACCTGCGAGGGGAGGGCCCGGGGGTGGAAACCGGGTCAGCACGCTCCGGGCCCGGGAACGGGCAGCCAAGCTGAGAGGAGCTCGGGCCGGGAGGAGGGGCCTGGCCGCGGCGCCGCGCTCACCAGGTGGCACCCGGACAGGTGGCCGGGCCGCCGCCGCCGCTCCCGGCCGGACCGGCCTCTCCCCGCCCAGCCCCCGCCCCGCCCCTCCCTTCTCCGGCAGCACTGCCCCGCAGCCTCCCAGGGGCCCGAGCCCCCAACGGGCCCCTTATTGCCATCAACCCGCTGGGCTCTGCTTTGGGGCTGGGGCAGAGGGCGGGGGCGCGAGTACAAATGTGGGGACCGGGATGTGTGGACGGTCCAGGACCCGGAAGAGGCAGGTAGCCAAGCCCTTCAAGAACCAGCTACGAACTGGAGGCAGGGGGGCAGGGGCGGGGCACACCGGGCCGAATGGAGGTGGGGGTGGCGTGGGGGGCCGCAGCGGGGGGCCTGGGGGCAGCAGAGATCGGAGAGAGAAGGTTGGGGAGCAGCAGGAAGACCAGCAGGGGAGGCGGCGGGGGAAGAGGACCAAGCCCGGCGCCGCTGGGAGGAACCCGCATCCTGGTCCTCTCACTCGTCCCACGCTCATGCTCCACGCGGGGAAAACAAAAAAAGTTGACCTGGAGACATGGGTGCGGCGGGAGCAGGCAAGGTCCGGGGCCAGACACCCCAAGACCATGGAGACTTCACCTGGGAAACCAAGTCCCCGGGGGGAAAAAAAAACCCGCTTTCCACCCTGCTCACCAAGAACCTTGTCCCGGGGAGGTCGAGCCCCAGGGGCACGCGCTGGCGGAGGAGCCCACGGAGAGCCCACCGTCCCGTGGGCGCGGGAGAGCCGAGGTCCGTGCGCGGCCCGGGAGGGAGCCACTGCGCGCCCCGCCGCTCTCATTAACCCCCAATCAGTTCACCTAATCCCGGGGTCGAAACCTGAGCCTGGCGGAGAGGGAGGCGGGTCTCTCCGGGGCGGGCCTGGGCGGCGGGGAGGGGGGGGGAGGTCTGGAGAAAACGAATCTGCCTTCCTCCCGGGTGGGGAGAGGCGATGGGGGCGGGGTGCCCCTGTGAGCTGCAGCCAGTCTCCGTGGTCTCAGCCAGTGCAGAAGCGGGGCTCTGGCTGAAGGGTCCCAGGTTCGATTCTGGTCAAGGGCATGTGCCTTGGTTGCGGGCACATCCCCAGTGGGGGCTGTGCAGGAGGCAGCTGAACGATGTTTCTCTCTCATCAATGTTTCTAACTCTGTATTCCTCTCCCTTCCTCTTTGTAAAAAAAAAAAAAAATCAATAAAATAATATATATATATATATATATATATATATATATATATATATATTTTTTTTTTTTTAAAGAAACGGGGCTCTGGGGGTTATGGTCTTGGGTGGGGATGGGCAGCCCGGGTCCCGCCGCCTCGGAGCCAAGCAGGTTGCCGCGGTCCCAGAAAGTCGGATGCCTCCCTCGGGGCCCTAACTCCCCACGGCTCCAGGCCAGGATGCAGGACTCGGTCTAAGGGTGCCCGTTGGTGCTCCGGGCATACACGTAATTCCAGGGGGCTCGTCCCCTGGAGGGCATTCCACGCCCCGCTGTGTCTCTCTCCCCAGGACAGGAGTGGGCAGGCTTGGGAGAGAAGGCTGAGGGTTGTGGCATGAACCCCATGGACGGTTCCGCGCCCTGAGCCCCAGAAGGTGAGGGCGCTCCCCCCCAACTCCCGCCCCCCCCCCCCCGTGGGCCCGATGGTCGGAAGTTCAGGAGGCTCCGGGGTGCTGGGCTGAGCGAAGGCGCAGTTAGTTCTGTTGCTTCAGTCCCTCCCTCCCCCGCTGCCCTTGGACCATATAATTAGACACTACGAACGCAAAAAAAAAAAAAAAAAAAAAAAAAATCAATTCCTTAAACAACCATGAAACTAAAAGGAAAAGGTAAACTGGGTGAAACGGTCCCACGGGCCCCACTGCATGTTGAATACGGGTTGGCGTAAAGCCGAACAGCGAGGATGAGCGGGGGCAGGGGTGAGGTGTCCGCGCCCCCTCTCTCCGGACTGACCGGGGCCACGCGGGACCCGGCGTGGGGGAGGCTGATCACAGCCCCGCGCCTCCCCGCACCCCGGCCGCCTCCGCGGGCTCCCGGGAGGGCGGGGGGGGGGGCAGGGCCGGGCCCTGGGCGCGTGGGAAGGCGGCCTCGCTCCGCAGCTGGCGGCCGGGGGCGGGGCGCACGCGGGTCCGCGGGCTCCGCTCCCGGTCGGGACGGGGAAGCCGGAGCTGGAGGCACCGAGCGGGCGGCCCGCAGAGCGCCGCCGCCGCCGCCCCGCCAGACGTTCCCTTCCCGGCAGGTCCCGCTCCCCTGCAAAACCGCCAAGGGTCCCGGCGCGTGTCCCCGGCCCTGCCGTGCGGGGCGGTGGGGACCCCGAGGACGGAGCTCTCCGCGCCCCCGCACGGCCCTCCGTCCGCCCCGGCAGTGCCCGCGCCGGCGGGTTTGGGCGGCCGCCCCCGCCGGGAGGGACGTGCCAACCGGGCGCAGCGCACCTACCTGCGGGGTCAGGGCGCGGGCACCGCGCGCGGAGAGGTTTCAAACTGAGTTGCTCTCCGGATGGATCTCTCTCTCTCTCTCTCTCTCTCTCTCTCTCTCTCTCTCTCTCTCTCTCTCTCTCTCTCTCTCTCTCTCTCTCTCTCTCTCTCTCATCTCCTTCGGAGCTCAGCCCCCAAAACCACAAGCCTCACTTCCTGAGCGTTGAGGAGTCACTCGCGTTGCCCTCTCAGACCTCCCCCCGCCACCCCCGGTCCGGCGGCGGGGCGCGCTTCCTCTGCGCGGGGCCAGCCGGACCGGGGCCCGGCCTCCAGCGCCCCTGCAGCGTCCCTCCCCGCTTCCTCGCTGCGGGACGGCGGCGGGGGTGGGAGACCCGCAGGGCTGAGACCCTGGGAATGACTCGAAAGAAAAATGAACTATTCTTCTTGGCTCCTGGGAGACTTCCGCCAGCAAGAAGCAGCCCCAGATTCGGGGGACAAAGATTCAAAGATTGGCGGGAGCGTCGGGAGTGGAAGAGCCCAGCTCGGAAGCCTCCCGACCCATCTGGCCCGGGACACCCCCCTCCTGCTCTTCCCTCCCCCCCCCCCCACCCCGTCTCCCGCTGGGGCCGCCGCCCGGGGGCTGGGGGGGCCGTGAATCACCCGCCCGCGGGGCCGCCGGCCTGGAGCCCGGCGAGTGGCCGCGGCGTCCGCGGCGCGAAACCTGCCCCGCGGCCCCGAAATAGCTTGTTGTGGAAACACTCGGGGATAAATACGCCCAGCGAGGCTGAAAATACCTTGACACCCAATCCCAGAGGTTTGCTCATTTCCCTTCGGATTTAGGTAATGGTTAAATTTGGAAAAGGTGGGCGAGCGCCGAGCCCCCGGCCGGCCGAGAGGGCGCGGGCGGCGCGTCCCCGGGGCGCCCGGCGGGGCCGGAGGGCGCGCCCGCCCGCGGGAGCGGGTCCGCCGGGCCCGCGGCCGGTTTCCGGGGGTCTGAGCCGCGGAGTTCACGGCCACGCGGGAGGGAACGCGCAGGGGCGGCCGCCGTGGCTGCGCCGCTGACCCCGCCCTGCCCGGGCCGGCCTGGGAGAGCCACATCTCCCGGCGCTGCCTGAGGTCTCCTTCAGGCACCTGGCCCCCAGGGGAGCTGCAAAGCGCCATAAAAGCAATACCTGATGAGGATTAAAAGTAAATCTGCGCTGTGATTTGGGTTCAGTGAGAGCGGGCATCTGCATCTACATTATGTCGGTGGTCGTCTTCACCAATGTTTGTGGATGGTGTCAATGAATAAATGGCATTCTTTGATTAATTCTGTTAATAGAACGGGGAAAAGCTTAAAAAAAATCTCAGTCATGAATTAAACAAATGCAGCAACCTCCAACGCTAGACTGTATGTCATGATCTAGCGTGTGGCCTGTTGTGTATGGCTAAGCCTAAACCCTCTCCTGGCAAGGGTGGATAGCCGTGTAACCACATTGCTTTCCTGAATGAATGGCTAAGATTTTGATCCCTACTTCATGCACAATAAGTCTCCGGTGTTTGATACCCAGAGAAGGGACTAGTGCTCCTCAATTTTTGCAAATTAACAACCATGTATTAAATTAATTAAAAGTTGTCATAGGGGGGAAATGTTCTTTAGTGCCCTTATCCTAGAGAATGTTTAAGTGATTTTTTAAATTTGCACTGTAAATCTAAAGATTTGCAGAAAAATATTTGGTTATCAAGGCAGTGCTTCAAGCATGCTTTAATAAATTGTATTTTATACAGCAATAATTGCACGCATACTGTGTGGCAGGTGCTAGATGAGACACATCTTAAATTATGTGTCTAGCTGTCCCCTTCACACTACTATTGTTTTACTCAACATTCCCTTTTATAAATAAATGCAGAGGTAATCAGTCTCAATGGGAAGAATTACAAATATTGGATTAGCTGAAGGAAAATTAAGTGCATTTAAATTTTTATTTCTTGTGTGCTTTGTCTTGGCCCAAGGACTAAAATCTTAAAGACCATTTTCTTTGTACATTAGCAAGTTCAAAGTTAAGATTTCTTTAAAAGGCACTGTTTAAGGTCTTGGAAAACATGGGTGGGGAGGCTCTGAAGGAGGCAATTAATCACCCTGCATAGCATCCATTTCATCCAGATTACATCTAGTTGGCTTGTTTTGCTTGCCCTTTCCAACCTCTGAGTTTGCAAAGTAAAAATGGGGACAAGAACCTCCAGGGAGAAGCAGGTGGGAGGGGGATGACAATAGATCCCCCTTTATATGTTTTGAACCATGTGGCTGTATTACCAACTCAACTGAAGAAACACACATTAAAATATTTAACCAGCAAGACCAGGTCATTTTGCATGTGTGTAGTGTTGAAATGTGATTCCCACCCT